CCAGTTTTCAAAGTAATGAGTGGGTTTCCTAGCACTCCCCAAAGGTGATCATTTTAAAAATTTGAAATATAATTCACACACCATCAAAATAACATTTTAAAGTATACATACAAGCCACTAGTTTCTAGTACATTTAAAAAGTTGTGTAACTATCACTAGTTGATCATTTTTTGAAGTCTCATAAATTCATGAACATATCCATTCTTTAAATCACAGAAATTATTGTTCTTTTGACATTCAAATTTTCTCAATGTTAGTCAGCTGAAGTCTTTAAACTGGCTCCTGAGACCTTTTGACACATTCCTAGTAAGCTTTGACTCTTTTTTCCCTTGCTTTCTGGTATGAGATGTTCCTGGCTCATCTTGTACTTTCTTGTTCCAGCCCAGGACTCATGTAATTTCTCCAAGGAGCCCTGGTTCCTTCAATGGAAAATTGTAGAGGCCCCCATCTGGGCACCAGGGGTGTTCCCTGCTGCTGCTCATTATTTCTAGACCTCAGTATTGATGTTTATTTCTTTACCAGAGCTAGTCTGTTTGCTGTGTCCTGTGATTTATAATCCCTGAGGTAGAATTTGGCCATTCGTGATACTCAGGAATTAAACAATGTCTTATTTAGTTAATGAGTCATATGAAAAATACTGCTTGAAAATCACCTAATTGTCAGTCATTATTTATTTTTAAATTACATTCCTTGGGGAAGGTGTACAGCTTAAAGACTCAGATTAAAAATTCTTAAAAATTCAACTGAATTCCAACAGAAGATACAACTTGCTCATGTTAAATATAATTTAGGTATCAGACATAGTTAATTTTTATAGGGCATGTTTAGATCAATAAAAATAGAGCCTTTCTAGGGGATAGTAAATTTTTTTTAACCTTTGTGATATAAAATAACGCATTACCTCAGCACTTTTTTCGTGAGACCCTGAATAAAAATAGAAAATAAAAAAGGGCTGGAGATATACTTCAGTGGTGAAGTGCCCTGGGTTCAATCCCCAGTGCCAAAACAAAAACAAAACAAAAAATAAAATAATGCATTCTCATAATTTTATTCAGGGTCTGTATTTTCTCATAGACCAATAACTTATTGTTTCCTATTTGGATTCCCATCACTGAGTGATGGGGATTGCAAATCGACAGCTTCTTTTCTGACTAATCTTTCTTTGGAAAAATGATTGAAAAGTCTTGTGTTGCTTCTGGCTCAAGCACCTATAAATATGTCAGAGATTTTTAGTTAGGTTATTAAAACACTGTCAAAACCTTGAGTAGATGCTTTTAACTATCTGATATACATTAACAGCTCTGAAGGAACAAATAAATTTTAGCACACCATCAAAATTCTTTTGACTGCTTTGAAACCAGCTATTTTGTATTCATAGCATATGCTTTTGAACCTTCTGCTCTCAATCTCCCTAGCTAAATTTTCCTTTTATTGTGTGTTTATTTAAGTGAGAAAATGAAAGCACTTAAGAATGTTGTTATTTTGCCATACAGCCTCCTAATTCAAGTACCCCAAAGGCATGCACTGAGGCTTTGTTATTTATTGCCTACCCCTGGGGACTCTGTAGGTCCCTAATACTGAAACCATGATAGAAAGTATCTAGACCCAGGTAAACTGCAAGATGTCTGAGCTTAATCAGTTAGTGCTTGATTGCCAAATACTTTCAGTGATCTTAGGTGGCCTCAAGGTCCAACTGTACTTTCATAAACTGTATAAATTATAGTACCAAATGATTTCTGTTGTTCACACTGCCTTTGCATTTTCACTTTATCATAATATTAAGTGTACTTCCAGTAATTTTTTTTTTAAAAATCACAGTTCTTTTAACACTCTGTTTAACAATGTTCTTTACTGTCTTCCATAAATGGATTTGAAGTACAAATTATTCCCCACCCCACCCCTTTTTGTGTAGGGTGCTGGGAATCAAACCCAGGGCCTTGCACATGCTAGGCAAGTGCTCTGCCACTGAGCTATTCCTTCAGTCATTCACTTTTTGTTTTGTTTTGTTTTTGTTTTTGTTTTGGTACTGGGGATTGAACTAAGGGGCAGTTTACCACTGAGCCACATCCCCAGCCCTTAGTTTTTATATTGATATAGGGTCCCCTGTAAGTTGCTGAGCCTGGCTTTGAATTTGCCATCCTCCTGCCTCAGCCTCCTGAGCCACTGGGATTACAGGGATGCAACACCACAATGGCAAACATTCACTTTAAACAAAGCAAAACATTTTTTCCCCTTAATTTAACCCGGGGCACTTGCCTACTTATACTCTCCTTATGTATAAAAAGTGATCACAGAGTGGCATGGCACAAGCCTGTGGTTCCAGCTACTGGGGAGGTTGATGAGGAAGGATCTCTAGAGCCCAAGAGTTCAAGACCAGCTTGGTCAACACAAGGAGATCTAATCTCTGAACACGTGTGCGCTTGTGCGCATGCGCATTTCTTTTGGCGGTGCTGATTGACCTCAGGCTGATTTAGATTCCCAAACACGCCCAGCCCTGCCCCGAGTGTTTTGAGACCAGACAGGGATTCATTGTGTTGCCCCAGGCTACCTCCAAATCCTGCTCTCTAGTGATCCTCCTGCCTCAGCTTTCTGCCTAGATGGGACTACAGGCACGTGCACCTCACCTGGCTTTCTTATTTTACTTGAAACAGTGTTACTTAGTTTTATTTACCTTTCTGTAACTACAGACTACTGGAGCCTGAAGGAATTTCCTACAGTTAGGAAGATATGTTATCATTTATCACGTCTGAAAGGAAATTTGATCACTAAAAAAAACCTCACTCAATCCCTTAGAGGAAAAAATGACCATTCCCAGAGATTTTTTCTTATGCTTCTTTTGTTTTTCCTTTTTGAAAGCATTGTTTGTGAAGTATCTGAGAGAAGGGACAATTTGCACCCTGGGAGTTTTTGAAAAAGCCTTGTGAAAGGCCACTAAAATTCAAGCCTTCTCTGAATTTAAAGAGATTTCACGTCAGCATGTTACTTGCTTTCTAATTTTGTATTCTTTATTGTATAAAAATGCCTTTAGCATTTAGCGCTGTTTGCAGTACAGGACGAGGGATTCCAGATTAACATAGACTACACTTTTTCTTGGTAACATTTAAACATAGTCCCTGAGTCCCTAGTTCAGTATAGAAACAGTATAAACATTTTAAACTGGGGAAAACTCGACACATTTTTTAAAGTTGACAAATACTTTGTTCAATCACATACATTTTATCTCCAGTCCATTTCTTTCAACTTTTAAAAGGCTTGTTTAAGGAGTTAAAAAGAAATCCCTACCCTATTCTGCTACTTCCTAGATATATATATGGAAGAATGTGGAAAATGCATTATTTATGAAACAATGATACCAGAATTGCATTTCATAGGTTCCCAAACTCTTGAAACACAGGTATATATAAAATATACCATTAAAAATTCCTACTTATTGCGATGTGCGAAACCCGTTTCAAAATGTAACCTATTCCTAACCCCCCACACACCTAATAAAATCAGTTTGGCTCTCTGATTGAACGCTTATTTACTAAAAAATTAAAGAGCTTGGTAGTTGCTCTAGGGTAACCCTTCTCCCCCCTCGCCTTGCCCGCACACCCATTTTAGACTGGCAAGTCCATTTTCATTTTATTTCAAAGATTTTCTTTCCTTCTTTTTTTTAAAGGGAAGGCAGGGGACGTCGGGGGTTGCTAAATTTATCTTCTTCCCCAGCCGCGGGGATGAAGAAAACACGTTTACTGCGGGCGGGGGTCTGAGGGCCTGCAAACAACTCGAGCTGGCGCCTCGGCCAGGACCAGCGCGGAGAGGCGGTAGG